AGAGAGAGAGAGAGAGAGAGAGAGAGAGAGAGAGTATTAAAGTATGAATCACTCACTTGGGATGTTTCATGTTCACTTCCAGAACAAGCTCTGGGGGAATTTCAAACCACTCCGGATCCGAACCTGCGGCCGACAGAACCAGAGGTAGAACATCAAACATGCCGTACTTAGGTTTCCAGCCCAGCTTCACACATTGCTGAAAGAACAAAACCAAAAAAAACAGAAACAAAATTAATTTAAAAAACAGAAATAAAAGCACCCCCCCACGACGAAACAAGCCAATTGATTTTCGTTCCAAACAGAATCAGATCTTGTACTAAACGTTTAGAGGTTTTAGTAATACTTTTACGGCACTTACAACACAATAAGGTCATATAAGTGCCGAAGATTAGAGGTGTTACAAGAGAGTCAAAAACGTTAAAAAGAAGGAGGGGAGATAAAGACGATAGATGTTTGATAGGAAAGAAGGAGCAAACCACACAAGAGCACCCTCCAACCACCCACTTCCAGACAGATTGCTGCACATTTTAGATTCTAGATGGCGAGATCAAACTGCCATAAATTTGTATTAGTTCAAGATCTCCAGGTGCACGATGGGGAAAATCCCAGTGGCGAAATGGAGAAAGCTCAGGAAATTCGATAAATAATTGGATAAATTGGATAAATTGGAGACGCGCGAGACGGGAGAACTACATTGACGTAGGTCGATCGTCATGGTTGGGCTTTTGTGTCTGGAAGTGTTTCCACAATTTGATTTGTTTCGCTGCTATTTTTAATTTTGCATTTTTTGTTGGGGTTCCTAAAAGATTTTTTTTTCATTGCTCGTTTCGTCGTGTAGAGCTGTAACCATTTTCTTTTAAATGTAGGACGTGTGAGTTAAGCCTCTTTATCGACATAGTTTAGATCATTTGGTCGCTTTTAAGCACAAGGGGGCTATCCCGAAACATTTTCTTCTGAGAAAATTGAAGACTGAGAGGGACACAGCAACGTATCAGTTTAGTTTTAGTTTTAGTAAGTGTTTTACGGCACTTGCAACACAATAAGGTCATATAAGTACCGCAGATTAGAGGTGTTACAAGAG